GCTGCTGTACGACCGGTCGCTGACGTATAATTCGAGCTTCTGCCTGGCGGGCCTGGTGCTGGTGCTGTCTGCACTCCTCGTCCTGGTGCCGTGGCGCTACAGTCGCGCTCCGAGCCCGCTGCCTGACCCAGACCGGGAGGCAGCCGCCGAACCCGCCTCTCCCGTGAAGGTGCCGGCCCAACCGAGCGACTTTCTGCTACCACCGGAGGCCGGTCCGACCAAGCCCGTGCTGTCGCAGCACGGCCGCCCCTGTGACGAGGCCGTGCGAGCATTGGACGCAGAGCGGGCTCCACTCTGCCCGTCGGATTGCACGTGCCTCCAGGGAGGCGCGGAAAGAGGACAGGATGAGCCGGCACCACACGGGGAGCGAGCTCCTCTCTGCCCGCCGGACTCTTCCCGTCTCCAGGAGGGCGCGGAGAGAGAACAGAAAGAGCCGCTACCGGACGGGAAGCGAACCCCGCTCTACCCGACGGATTCTTCCCGTCTCCAGGAGGGCACGGAGAGAGGACAGGAGGAGCCACCAACGGACGGGGAGCGGGCCCCACTCTGCCCGCCGGAGAATCCCCGCCTCCAGGACGTGCCGGTGAGCGACTGCGGCGCGATGGACACGCGGACACGGCCGGGTCGCCTCCGCTCGCCCGGCGCCGCCGCTCGACAGGAGGCTGCCACCGACTGTGACCCCGTGCCTGCGCTAAGCCACTACTGGAACCAGCCCCTTGTATGATGCGGCGTGTTCCTGGACGCTGACGTCCGATCGACGCCCGTCAGCCTCGAGCCGCGTGTGGCCGGCCCGCCGGCCCGGACGGTCTGTGGACACGGTCTCTCGCCCGTCTTGCGACGGTGCCTCCGCCGAGGCGGGGCAACCGATAGTCCAAGGCAGGGCATGTGATACTTGAGCGGCTGCAGGCAATCTTTTGACCGTGTGAGTTGGGTCGCGTTAGCCACAGCCTGTTGAACTGATCGGCGTTTACTTTGGCCTGTTAGGTCACAATGGCTTGCAACCCAGAGGCAACCGAGGCATTGCGATTCGCAGTGGTCCTGAGAGCACTGGATATCATGCGTGTCGCATGGCCATCAGCCTTCAACCTAAGGCTGGTACTTGTGGATTTATTGTGAGCTCAGTGGTCTCTGACATGTGATACTCCCTTGAAACGCGTACGATTAACTGCCGAAAGTTTGGAGCGAATGTACAAGAATCGCAAAGAGCCGTGGAGTATGCGTGGTCGATTACTCGGTTCGCTACAAAATACATTATAATCGATTCACAGCCGTGGAATCGAACGATATCCAGGCATTTGAAACCGGTGTGGTGGTGACGCACGAATCGACGAAGATCGAATCAGTTCCCAACTCGCAAACATTCCAGGTCCACGAGTAGATTCTCCCTTGTACACTATCAAGTGATATGGTATGGATATGATATGGATATGATATGATATGGATATGGTGATACTGTGCTTATGACTGCATGTTCAAAGCGCAATAGCTATCTTGAAAATAATCACGGAACTGGCCGAAACGTTGAGCAAATAAATCACCTTTGGTAATATTCTGTATCGGTACACCGAAAACGGCAAACGCACAATACAAAGCCTTGGACAAACAAGGCTTCACAAGGTTCTAAACGCGGAATTAGCTGTTTTATGCAACTAACAATGTATGAGAGAAAACCTGCTGTTAAATACTCCGATAACTACACACACACACACACACACACACACACACACACACACACACACACACACACACACACACACACACACACACACACACACACACACACACACACACACACACACACACACACACACACACACACACACACACACACACACACACACACACACACACACACACACACACACACACACACACACACACACACACACACACACACACACACACACAATGTATATATATATTATGCTACCGTCGGCAAGCTCGTTAAAGGAATCTTATGACGATTAGTTCATCATAGTATATGCGATGATAAGCAGAAACATGTTTTGTCAGGGTTGTAAATATGGATACTTTTTGGGCCTCCTCAGCTGACCCCCACCCAATATTCCTTCTGAGACCCACGAAGTCATAAGGGGAAAATCAAAAATGGTGCAAGGAACGAAGGAAAGTATCCCTGAACTGTTAGTAGAGGTACCTCACTACATCGCTAATAGCATCTCACTTATTTTGTACCAAATGGCATCCTGTAGCCCCTTCCACTCTAGCGTTATGAGACGGGTCCCATACAAATTGCCGACAGACATTTAACCGAATGGTATCACGCCGAATGTGAAAACCTGAATGCTCTTTTGTCACCATATTAAGAAGGCAAGAGCATGAAAGGCGAAAGGACATGTCCTTGTTGACGACGTGCAAATTGTGGAGATGCAAATAAGTCCACAAACCAACTAGCCGAAAACTCATTAGTCAAAATGCCATTTAGGCGAATACTGTAAACCGGAGCTTGCGTTTAAATATCACGGTGTGTATATAATGTTTTGTCTTGTGGGTATCATTCCTATTGCATCCGCTCCAAACCTTCCCCTGGTAATGCCTTCTTTCTTTACGGAGCAGCCGGGTCGTGATAAATAAGACAAAAGGCCAGTGACCTGTCAGCCGGTTGGGCAAGGCGTTTGAGCGCAGAGACCGTACCGGAGGGGCAGCAACGGGTCCGGTCGAAAACGGGATCATCTGTGCGAGATGCCCTGGCGAAAACACAGCATGCGGCCGGGATAACAGCGCTCCACACCCAAGCGCCAAAACCTGGCCAGGGTGAAACACTTTGGCGGCAACGCAGCGTAGGCCCCGGTGGAACGGCGTCCCACGCCGCTCCGTTTCCGCCGTACCGGGGTCGACAGACCGCCAGCAGACAACCGAGGAAGACAGGTGCAGAGCAGGGCAGCCTACCGGAGCGGAGCCAGCTCACCCGCCGCGGGCAAGTTCGGAATCCGAGCTTGAGACCGAGCCCCGGCCAATCGGTATGCAGCACAACGCAATGACAGAAAGACCTCAAGGCCAGGCATCACCCCGGGGCATACTGACGCTCGCTCTCCGGGGCCCTGGGCCTGTCCCCGGTCAAGAAACAGCTCTTGCAAAACGGACATGAGCATGCGCACAAATGACAGCAGGCTTAGCTGATGACCAGAAACTAGAGGGAGGAGCAAGTCGAACAAAATCAGCGGGAGTGTCACTTTCGGGAAGAGGACAACCACTCAGGAACAGGACACCGAGAGGACAGCTGGAGGAGAGCAGCACTTGGACTCGGGGCAGTCTCAGTGGAAGGAGGCGCTCTGCACCTGGCAACTGCAGTCATCAACATGTGAGTGGACGAGCTGGGACGAGGAGTTGAAGCACTGCTGTCTGCTCTCCGTTTCCGTCCTTTTTGACCATGTCTCCTCTCCTCTCCCCTCCCCCCCCCCCCTTGCTGCATTTGTCAGACGCCAGGTAGGCGCGAAAACTCTGCTGGTTACTTGTCAGCTTAAAAGACTAACTAGCCGGGATGGGAATGCCAAGTGTCGGGTGGGAATAATTACACGCGGAGTGTTGAGGGTCGGGGTCACGCGCCGGACGGGTCATGTCATAGGCGAGGTTACGTCGGACCACGGAGGAGAGGAGGTATATCGCGCGCATGTAAATAAGCGCCGTGTGCTTGGATCTGGGAATGTGGATAATATTATAATACATTAGGCTCATGGGCAATTGGTGATTTAAGGGAGGAAGCGAGGAACCCCAGCAAGAGATGGACGAGGTGTAAATTAACGGTAATCAAACCATGCATCCCGACCCTTATGACACTTGTCGGATGAACTCGTAATTTGCGCGAGTCTTCACCAAAATTAGAGTCGAAAGACTGATTTTGCTAATTTAAACGTAGCATGTTATTTGCAGCACCACAATTCTTGATGTTAATCCGCCGTAACACGTGAATTTCGATCCATAACGGATTGCTTAACTAGCTCAAGTCTTTAAGAACATTGCGATCAAGATTGACAGACTTGCTTGATTGGACGCGTAGTTGCGTACTTGCAATGCGCACTGTTTTCATACAAAAATTGCGGAAGATAATGTGCATTGCAGCGCATACTTAATCACCGGTCAGTTATTTTAAGAAACCGCACGAGTCTTCAAGAAAAGATGGCGTCAGAACGACTGGCATTGTGATATGACACGTAGCTGTTTGTTAGCGATGCGCATTAGGGTGTGTCATCGGTAACAAAACCAAGTGAGACAAAGAAATGCCTTGGCGCTGGAGTCCAAAAGTGCACAGCATAGCGAAATTTCTTCCCGAGAACTTCTATTAGTAAAGCGCGAGCCGATCAAAATATTGTCGTAAACCAGCGCCCAGCGTTGCAGTCACCAATGCTGACCGGCCGCGGCCGCCGCAGGTAACACCAAACCGTGGGTGGCAAGGCAACTTCGCGTATGGAAACGATACCTCTGAGCGCGTCTCAAAGCGATATGTGCGAAAATGTTCGATTCTAAGGTCCAATATGAGGTTCAGACATTGGTCACTTGATGGCCATATGCTGGACACCTAATGTGTTGTGAAGTATGAACTTGTACGAGCACGTTTGCTAATACCGCTTTTTGACTTCCACTTCGCTAAGACGGCCCATGTTCTGTAAACAAAAAACATTCATAGCATATGACTCAGAATATATTACCTGGTGTACAACTTCAAACAAACACCAATGTCTGCAGCGTGCACCACGGGCGTGGAGAGGGGTTAGGATAACCGAACACACATCTTGCTCCTGGCCGAGCCTGCGTATTCGACACGCTTGCTGAAACAGCAGCTGCTGAGAAACCGGAAACCCGTAACGCGTGTTGGCTGAGGTCGCACAATAGCAAAAGTGCCGTCACAACCGGGCTGCTCTATTGCCGAAGCTCCAGCCCCAGTCGCAGATGTTCTCGGCTGTGCGGCGCCGGTCCCACTCTGCTCTGTGGCGCGTGCCCGGGCACTGTTGCACTAGCCCCTGCCAGGCTGGTCGACCTGCGGCGGTGCCGTCTCCATTCTGAAGGCTGCACGTCTTAAACGTTCCTGCCGTCGTGCTGCTGAACCAGAAGGCACCGACGCCAGGATTTTGTCATCTTAGAGGGGCGGCTGAGTACTCCCCCGTGCGTCGACGATGAAAAACGTCCACAGGGTGAGCGTAAAGGCCTCTATCCACAAGTCATTTAAAACACTTTGACACATAGGCGCCTCGCCGAAAAACGTTTTGCTAGTTCGCATTCGACTTAAGATCATTTCTGCAAATTAGCATGCGACCAAAGCACCCTTCGGTTACCAGCATTCGACTAAAGAAAACATGCAGCATGTTTTTGTGCTCATGAAATAAAAGGAATGCTGAATATTAAATTGTTATGATTACGATACACGTTTTATTTGTTTGATAACATTCACTTCCAAGGAAATTTTGGCCACGGTCCTTGCTCAGAGCGACGAAATGTAAACTAGAAATCGAAAATCATTTTAAACCGCGCCCGTTCTATATGCTTATTTTCAACACTGTGAGCAGACTTGCATCATGCCATGAACTGTCACGAAGGTCGAACCCAGCGTGTGTGCAAACTTTTCGGCAATCCGCACTGAATGGGGATTAAACCTATCGTATCTGTACTGACAAGCGTATGCCCTCGATGTAGTTATTAATATTTCGTGTAACTGAAACTTTACAGGCTGGAAAGGCTTGCAGCTATGTACAGGTCAGCTTGGCGAAACTGAGTTAACCTGTAAACAACTGCATACCAAATGACCTCAGTCAACTCTATGCGTAACCAATAAATGTCATATCATCCCTCATTCAGCACGCACCGCTTACACTACCGCGTACCTGCGCACCCTGAGCTCACCAGAGTTTTAACCGTTCTGATGCGCCCAATTTGCCTTTTCCGTTTGCGTCCTGAGCATATGGGATATAGATGCTTTCATGTACCAGCGTTGGCGTTACTGATGCTGCGATGCAAGCAATAGCCTCCGGAAGCCTCTGGGTCATGAATAACAGCCTTTAGGAGCATCTGCGATACGAACAACAGCCTTCACAAGCGTCTGCGATACGAAAAGTGTGTGTCTGCAAACAACCGCGGTACAAATATTTGTACATGAAAACATTGGCGATTATAAAACGTGGGATCAAGAGCATTTGCAGTACCAAAATTTGCGCGTATGTATATTGACTTTGATAAACATCTATACATAACACACTTGCAATTACGATCATTAACGTTTACGAACAGTTGCGGTCTCGTGCATTTGCGTACGAACGTTTGCGATTACTGATATTTGCATGCAAACAACTGTGTACGTATATTTGTGTGACATACGCTTGCTGTGGGTAAATTTGCCATCCGATCAGGAAAAATAACTTGCTAGTTGCTCCCTCACCGTGCAAATGGGACTAAAATACACGCATAAATTGTCAGTGTAGGTGTAAA